TTTTTTTCGTCGCGCTGTGATGACGTCAAATGGGCGCTTTCATCGAGCGCGATTTTGTCCTCCGGGGTTTTGACGGGTCACGGTGGAAGATAGGGAAAAGATTCACACATTAAATCACAAGAATTCCCCTTTTGAGATATTAGAAGCAACTTCATTGACTCAGTATCTACATTTGTAAGGCCTGCTCATCCATAGTTAATATGATTTAATTAAGCCAAATTTAGGGATTTAAATGATGCTTTGCTTCATCACCCATCACAAGGGCTGTGTTCATATACCTTTGTAAACCAGAACAAGTTTGGGCAGTTTGATACAAATCCTTCTCTTTATTAGAGTTGAACATTTATGGTCAAGAAACCCAACTGGATTCTTCTGATCTATGTAGATGAGGATTCTGGGCTGGGTGCAGCTGATTCTTTAAACCTTATGAGATCCTTTTTTTGTGACAGCCGGAAATCAGCGTGGAAGAGAGCACACAAGGCATCGTGAATGTGCTGTCCAATCTTTCTGAGGTAGACAATGGCACTTTTCTCGATTGGTTGGGTCGTCAAGTTCCCTGGTGATTCATCAGTCTCGCTCTAAGGTCATTGGATCATAATACACTGAGAAGTGATGGGGCTTCAATAAACTGACTTCAATCATGAAAGTCCTCATCTTGTTTTTTTCCTTTTTTTCACCAAATTTCAAACATTTGCATATATTATAAAATCATTTTGTAAAAAATATAATAATGCAACCACGAAGGACCAATGAAGAACTGTTCTGGTTTCGGGGATTAGAAAGACTGATTCCACAAATGTCACAAAATATATGTTTATGATCTCAAACATAGTGTCAATGTATGAATCACCAACTGTCTCATGCCAGATGCATGAGTTTTGATTAGAACACATTCTTTCAATACACATCTAATATTTAACATTCATCGCTCTATGTAATACCCATTGCTTGATCCCTTTAAATCTTTAAATTTAGCTGTTGATGTTTTCATTTAGATTTGTTTTAATATATGAAGATTTTCACACTAATGAATAAATGTGGCTGAGACAAAGCAAAGAGACACATTAGGAGCAAAAAAGTACACATTAGATCTCGGCAGCCTAACTTAGTTGGGAATCTTGGTCTACCACAAGCATTTTAATCTTCCTTTTTACCGTGAATCCATAACAAGGAGGTGGAACATGCCCCCAATTGCAATAACCAGCATGGCTTATTATCGGCCATGCTTACCATAATTTCTAAAATTCCTAGAGGGTGAGACCACAGATTCCTCCTCTATCTATAATGTTGAATAATGGCTAGTTTTCAAGTTATGGCTCAAATGAGTATGCCATTCCCGATTCCGTGGTGGCAAAGAAGCTAGAATTCAATATTGTAGGTTAATTCTGCTCACTGCCAACAGTTCGATTCTTACAGGTTCAAGGTTGGCTCAGGCTTCCATCCTTCCAAGGTCCATAAAATGAGGACCCAGTACTGTTGTCGGGGGGGGGGGGATATGTTGACACTGTAAACCACTTAGGACTGTAAAACACTTTAAAGTGCCATATAAGTCTAAGTGCTAGTGTTATTCATCCTAGATGATCTCAGAGCAATGTAAATGGCAAGGACAAACTTTTAAAAATAAATAGATTAACACACCTAAACCTTTTGCCATATTTTAAAAAGGGAACAGTGCTTTTAAATACTTAAATATCTAATGAAGTTAGAGGTGGCTCAGTGGCTGAGCTTGTCGATGAGAAAGGTCGGCAGTTCAGTGGTTTGATTCTCTAGCGCCACGGAATGGAGTGAGCTCCTATTACTTGTTCCAGTTTCTTCCAACTTAACAGTTCGAAAACAAGTAAAAACGCAAGTAGAAAAATTGGGACCACCTTTGGTGGGAAGGTAACAGCGTTCCGTGCACCTTTGGCATTGAGTCATGCTGGCCACATGACCATGGAGATGTCTTCGGACAGCGCCTGGCACTTTGGCTTTGAAACGGAGATGAGCATCGCCTCCTAGAGTCAGAAACGACTAGCACATATGTGCAATGGGAACCTTTACCTTTACCTATTAAAGTTGGAATTGAAGTTTGGTGCTAAAAAGAATATAGACTTTAGTGTCCCAAATAGCCCTGAACAGAGATTCAGGGCTATTTGGGGCCTATTCAGGGCAAACCAGGAAGTTATACTTCCAACATTCACGGTCTTCCGAATCCAATTGCTATCACAGTACAGGGAAAAAAAAGCTGGTTTTCATAATCTTAGTAGATCAGCTGTTTATTTTTCCTGTGAATATTTAGGATGTTCAAGCTAAGCACCAGCACTTTAAATTCCTTTGTATTCTAGAGATCTTTATCTGATAATAGAAGCAAGCAAATTTAATATCTTCTTATTAATTGCTTATAGCCCTTAAGTTGCATTTCAGGTTTTGCCTTAGGAGATTTCGCAGATGCTTATATTTTCTGGATTACGTTTGTTCTTTATGAGTAGCATATAACATACAGATCTTTTGTGTTTAGGCAGGCATTGAGTAGGGAAACAAATTAGTGCAGTAACTGAATGCATTTTTCATAAGTTGGAGTCAATTCCATTTAAATGCCTCGTGTTTTCTTGGGTTGATCTGTTTTGAGCTCTGGGCTTTTCAATGTTTGTTTGTTTGCTTCCTTATTTGATTCATTTCATATTTTAATTTTGGCGCTGTTCAACTGCAGACAACTTTGGTATAGTATACATATAGGTAAAGGTGAAGGTTCCTCTTGCACGTATGTGCTAATCGTTCCTGACTCTAGGGGACGGTGCTCATTTCTGTTTCAAAGCAGGAGAGCCAGCACTGTCTGAAGATGTCTCCATGGTCATGTGGCCGGCATGAATAAACGCAGAATTTGTTTATTTATTTATTTATTTATTTATTTATTTATTTTTAAAATTTATATGCCGCCCAATCCCGAAGGACTCCGGGTGGAAAAAAAAGGAAAAAAAAGAAAAAGACAGATTTAAAATCACAACACATGCATTTGTTCTAATCGGGGCTG